GAGTGGACAATAGGTTCCCCCCTTTATTATATGTATTAGGGCCCCTTACCTCATAGCGAAGGTGGGAGCCATGGGAGGGGCAATATGTCCCATCCTTTATTATAAGTATTATGGCCCCCTGGGTCGAGTCAGGGGAGGGGAAAATAGGTCCCCTCCACTTTGTTATATGTATTAGGGCCAGGTCAGTAAAGGGGTCGCAGCCCTTAAAATGTAAAGTAACCTCCACCCAATGGCCCTATGTCCCCCCCCTGTTATTTCACTTGCCCCATCCCAAAATGGCAGGTGGGGGCATAAAGAGGTATGTTACCTCCATTATAATAATATGAAGGTCATTTTAACCCACATAGGATTTTATTTATTTAATAACTTACTTATTTAATGTGGCGGCTGGAAATAAATGGCTGGCCAGCAGCCACATAATTATCCCTCGTGCTGCTAATGGTTTTTTACTGAGGGTTTTTTTTTTTTTATTTACAGTGCTGCCAGCGGACAAATCGTTCTGATTTTTTTTTTTTTTAACCAGGCCCTGAGTTGAATTCTCTGGGCCTGGATTCGATGCCTTTGGCCTTGATTTCTGACATCTGGCAGAGTTCATCCTGGCTGACATCCGGTCCAAATTCAGGACCTTCAGAGCCTGAATTATAAAATCCACACATTGATGAATTCCATCAACAATGTCTGGATATTGCAGTCAGAATTCGGAGTGAATAACCCTGAAAATGTTTCAAAGGAACACTCCAGACACCTAAAGCACATAATCTGTGTCCTCTTTTTTTAACAAAAGTTCAAAGAAATTGACACTTTTATAAATTAACCTTGTTACATCTACCATAGCTTTCAATTAAACAGTCCTGTTAATTCCTGGTTATTTAGCTCAGTTGAGTTTAGCTCAAGAAGAGGCAGCAATAACCCAAAGCAACAGCCTTGCATAGAATTCTCATTGAACTGCATTAGAAAGTCTGTGATTGGACAGCCACAGAAAGTCTGGGCAGGGTTAAGAGGGGAGGGCTTGCAACGGTTTCAGACAAGAGATCTGCAGCTTTTGCAAGCTGTTTTTTTATTTTTTTTATTTAACCCTAATAAAAAATGCACAAATAAATGTTTTCACTGGGTGTATATTTGAAAAATGTCCCATTAAGATTCAATCAGATGTTTCAGTCTGTGTTCACTGAATATCTTGAATACTTTTGCAGATTAATAGAACACTTTAGTGTAAGGAATACAAACATGTATTCCTGACACTAACGTGTTCCTCAGGCTCTGCGTCCCCCTCCCAGGAATTAAATAACCCTTTGTTCACTTACACTATTTCAACGCCGAGAGTCAAGGTCCATGTCCTCTGACGTCATCCTTTGTGGGACTTAATGCACATGCGCGGTGAAGGCCACGGGCGTATTAGGCCTTCCCCATATGAATACATTGACTCTGTGCTTTCCTATGGGGTTTTCTCTGATGCTGGACATTCTCAAGCACAGCATGAGGACGTCCAGTGTTGTTTCACAGAGTCAAACTCTGTGGAACTCCAGGAAACGCCTCCTTGACTGTCTGGTAGAAGCAATCTTAGTACTGCAAAGTAAGTGCAGGACTTAGGTGGACAGCGATATTGCGCTCAGACTACTTCAACGATGTGAACTGGTCTGGCTGCCTATAGTGTCTCTTTAATGTATCTTAAAAAAAATCTTACATTTGCAACAACAAAAAGACAAGCTTTATATGGTATTCTAACTCATTTGAATATTTATGCCCAATAAAGATATTTTACTTACCAGCTTATCAGTAATGGATTTTACCGAAATGCTCTTCAGGAATATACTAAAAGGCATTAATGCATTCGACACTAATGTATTTCTAAGTGCTTAAGAGCTATCTCCTGTAACCGATTTCCCTACCTGGTAATCAGATCAGAGTTCTTTGTGTATAGGGAGTTTAGCATTTAAAAAACTGGTTTAGTAGGTTTTCTGACATAATGCTGTCCATAGGGCATTTGTGTCATTGTACTCACTATTTATAATTTATAAAGTGTTCCAATAAATTATATAAATGGTTCTCATTTACATTCCAGATTATTTGTATAGTGTTTTCTATTCTCTGCACATTTCTCCCCTAAAAATGTGTCTCATATCAGTTAGGGTCTAGTTTGGTTTCTGGAATATCTGACACTAGAATATATACAATTTATCATCACTGGTTTGAAGGGAGATTTGGTGACCAAGGTTTTAGGCCTATACAGGATGATTGTCTAGTTCTGTCCTTTATTTAGCACCATGCGTATAGACTGTACCAGCATCAGCTGTTGAGGTTTTCAGATGGTAGGGCACTAGTCTCAACCCCTGGGATTTGACTCTTCCTCTTACTCTGTAAACCCCACATCTTGACCTATCTGGATGTGCCCATATAATCCCAAAGACCTAATAAAACATTGTGTCCTGAAAAGCACCAAAAACCTATAGAAACATGGAATATTGTAGTTAGCAGACCATTACAAGTTGTCTTCTCACACACTCTTATCCACAACTAAGTTTGCTTGTTCTAAGATAAACCTCCAGAAAAAAAAAGGTAGGGACTACTTTGTATTATATATTTTCATACACTTGGCAATCTTAACAATGGGCAGAGCTTAAGGTAAAATTCACCCTTTGTTTCCTTGAAAGGAGCTTACCTTAAGCTCCACCCTTTTGCCACCGTTGTCTTCATCTCACACTACCTGAGCTGTATATTCACACTGCTATGTCCCATTCCACTTCCTGCTTCTTACTTTCCATCCTTCACCTAAAAAAAAGGTACATGAAGCAAATGTTTACCCTTAAAGTTCCACATGCATGGAATAACATGCTAGAAAACTATTCTGACACAAGACTGGAGTCCTTTGAAAAATAAAAATCTACATGCAACTATATTATGTTAGTGTTAATTCATAATAATGCTAATTCTAACTACTATCTGTGTAACAATGTATTTATAACTGTACTGTCTGTACATGTAACATATTTGTATGTCTTCTCAAGGACACTTGTAAACAGGAGAAATCTCAGCGTAGCTTTCCTGGTAAAAAAAATTTATAAATAGAGTTGAGTGAACTCGAACTGTAAACTTCGGGTTCATACCGAACATTAGGATTTTTCGACCCCAAACCCAAGTCCGGACATTTCAGTAACAGTTCAGGTTCGAGTTCAGTGTTCGGCGATTTAATGGCACGTTTTGAAAAGCTGCAGGGCAGCCAATCAACAAGCATTTGACTTGTGTGCCCTTAGCAGGTGATTATAATCCCAGGGGAGTATAGTGATATAGCAATCCCCAGGGTAGATACAGCCGTTTACCCCACACATGAGATGAGACTCTATGTTGAGGGTAAGCAGGAACTCGTTTAATGGTAGCAACAACTGGCCTCATATGGAAGTCCCCATGCAAGGGCACTCCCCCTGGACCTGAGAGTAAACCACAGTAAAAACAAATACACAATTACATTGGCTCTCAGATCCAGGACACTCCCATACATAATAAAATAATCCCTCCTCTTTGCCTGGGAGATAATTGGATCAGGAACTGTACTAATCTAATCCAATTATCTCCAATCACAGAAAAACATACTTTTTCCCAAACACCTCAAAAGTACCTTAAAATACATAAAACCCCACAAAGTTCCATCACCTGATAGGCCTGATCTAGGTGACCAACATATCCAAAAATCACCAAGAGGTTCAGGGGTTCAGGAATTTTCTGGAAATAATTTATTTGACCGACCGCATGCATGGTCCCATGCCCAAAACAATTACAGAGAATCAGGGCATGCGGTCGATCTAGTTCGGTAGTTTGAAAACCAAACAAACTAGCGAACATAGTCAATGTTCTTACCCTGGAGCTTGTTTCCCTTGTTCGTGGGAACGTTTCCGGCGAACAGTGTCTTTCTAAGTGCCGTAGAACTGAACACAGGCGATCATGAAAGTCCAGCAGTGTTTGGGCGTTTCAGTGTCCGAAAATAGTTCCATGAACTCTACGACCAAACACCGCTGCTTGTGTTCATGCGAACAAGATGGCTGCAACCTCGTGGTCGTCCATAAGAATTGTGGCCACCCAGACGAACACTTAGAACACTGCTGTGGAAATTGCTACAAAGTATCAGTAAAGTTTAACAAGCTCCAGGGTGGTCTCTGGTTTGTGCGGTTGTTCGGTAACCAAATCATATAATCCCAATTGCACGAACAAAGTCTTTTAAAAGTATTTTAGCCAAGTCTATTGCAGGGGCCATAGTCCTGTGGCAGGAGGCTGACAAGCAGGCTCCTCCAAAAGTTCTGTTCACCACAAATAGATATACCAGTTTCTTGTAAAACTACTTGGAGCAAGCACATCCATACTTAACCCTTCAAGCACTCAAAGTCACAGAGAGGAAAAACATGGTTGATATACTATACTAATAAGATGGCGGCTGAGGAGCTTAGACACTTTCTCAACATTCACAGTCCTCCCTTTTTATTCGTAACAGATCCTGTTAATGAATCAATTAATAAATTGTTCCGTGACAAGATGGAGTTTGTTGCATAGCGATCCATGTGTTCATTAATTTCTGTTCATGTGAATCATCATTCATTGCATTATTCAGAGTTTCCAGGTCTTTTAAATTAGGGAATTCTTCACCTTCCAACAAAGTCATTGCGGGGCTAGTGCCAGTACACTTTACAATCAGCTCCTTAATTAGAAGAAAGAAAACACATACAATAACAAACAAAGCCACAATCACAGGGGTGTGTCTAGAGGGCAAGCAGTCGCATGGAGTAACTGCTACCGTAACACCGAGTCCATATAACCGAACAAACGACTGTAACAACTCTTATACCAGCAGGAAGATCTTACCTGGGTGACCAACATGGCACCTGAAAAAACAACTAAAATTCATGGACCCGGTTCACCACAGTGCCAAAAAAGACAGTCTGAAGCTGTTGCAAGATGGCGACTACCACACGGCACACTCACCTGCATCAGAAAGTCCATCGGAGTCAGAGCACATGGTGTTCCCGCCTGAAGACTCTCTGGTTACAGACAAAAGCTTACAGATGATGCTGCTGCAAGTCACGGATCTCCGCAAAGAAATGACAGACCCAGGAGGCAGAACCAGCCACCTAGAGCATAAGGTCAAAGAATTCTGCGTGGCCCATAATGAGGTTGCGGATAGACTGCAACAGCTGGAAGACGACCACGCTGCCCTAAAACATAAAATAGCAGACATTGAAGACAGGATGACAAGGAACAATATCCGCTTTAGGGGCATGGCTGACTTGGTGTGCAACGAGGAACTACCGAAATTCCTCTTGGCCCTATGCAAAGCTTTGGTGCCGCACTTGGAAGACCAAGCTTTGGTGCCGCACTTGGAAGACCATGCTTGGGCTTTCGACCATGTGCACTGTCTGCCGAGGCCTCAACGATTTACTGCAGATACCCCACGAGATACAAAAGCCCGTTTTCATTACTTCCAGTCCAAAGATCAGCTGTTCAATGTCACACGGAAGCTTCCCTGCTTACCTGAACCATACCAGGGCATCAATGTGTTTGCTGGCTTATCAGCGACAACTATGATGAGAAGGAAGGAGTTAATCAATGTCACCAAGACTTTAAGGAACCATAAGATATCTTACCCCACTAAGCTGCTTGTGTGGCACAAAGGCAGCACTGTACCGATCTTAGAACTGGAGGTGGGCATCTCCAAACTGAAGGAATTGGGCCATTTCCAATCGCAGAAGTCATCCTACCTCAGAGACTGAGCACCCATACAGACCTTCTTCAACTGCACTTGAGTATATTCCAATGTCTGCATATGAGTATCTGATAAGGTCTCTTAGTAAGCTTCACGCTATGTATGAGTTAAAGGTTATTATATAAGTTTAAGGATGGTGGAGGGTTCCCTTTCCTGGGAGCTGGGCACATGTTAAGCAATCTGCCCACCTCACTGGCTTGGCCTTCAGTTTACACCCAAATGTGGTCCCATGAGGTTACAACTATTGGAAGCAGACCCTCCGGTCAATGCCATAAGCACTCACACGTCATCACAGGTGCCCACGGCCAGAGGCTGCCTGACTCCTTGACTGCACAATCTCCCCACGTCCAGACATAGGTGTCTACACCAATTTTCTCCACCCTGGGTAGTTCTGGGGTGATAACGGGAGTGGGCCTGCTGGGCTCTCAGGGATGAGGGAACATTGCCCTGACTAACATTATAATTGTTTGTTACTCAAATGAGATATATATCTACAAAATGAGATATATATCTAACTATCTAACTATCTAACTCTGCTGACTTCCCAATATTAGTAAAGCCCACGAGAAGAGTCATACCTCAGGGGGGAGAGTTGCTACCGCCACATAGGGGAACCTTATGTTAAAAACTAGTTAACACCTGATTGGGTCTACTAGTTTGGTCATTTTATATATTGATCTGCATATTAGTTGTACTTATTTATGGTGAGGTTGCGTGTTCGCAGCGATTATGACTCCAGGTTAGCCACCATAGCCATCTCAGTGTCCCTGGCCACTATTTCCACTATCTAGTTCAGTAACTCACAAAGTGACTAAGGTAACTGACCCTCTTCACAACACTCCCCACTATTTGGCTGACAACCTTGTATTATGCATATTCACATTCTGGCCTAACCTAGAAGCTGACACTCTTGCTATGGCATGGGGGCAGATATGTTGTGTAGGACCCAACCTGTATAGGAGCATACACTTACATTGTTAACATAGCAAACCTCCGGGTGGACCTGGGTGTTAACTGTTAGATGGAATCTGTTAGATCTCCTCCAGGTCTTCTCTAAATAGCACAGGCTAAATTCAAACTACGGGCAGAATCGGTGACTGCTCATGTACACCACCCCCTGATTGACAATGGAACGCTCTGCTGAGCTTCTTCCCCTCGGTCATGTTCTCATAGCCTGCATGGACTGTCTGGATATACCTAGTTTCATGTTTATTGTTACTATTTTACTTTTTTTTTGTAAACCCTGCTTCCTTTAATTCCTCAAGATGCCCATTACCTCAAATACCGAGGCCCACCTGGTTGAAAGCTATGGACCCAAAAAGGAGCCTGAGCGAGTCCTACACTTACTATGACCACCATTACTAGACCTATATATGCTCACCTATTGAGACTAGTTACCAACACATAGAAGGGACCAGGCAGGGTGTTTTAAGACAACGGAGCTAGACACAGAGGTATCCCATCCCAAATACTTCTGGCTGACCCGCTATTCAAAATCCTCTCGCTTAATGCAAAAGGGTTTAACAGCCCCCATAAATGGTGGCTTGCAGTCCAAGAAATGCATAGGTCCCATGCCACAGTGGTTTGTCTTCAGGAAACCCATTTCTGCACACGTATTCTGACCAAATTATACACTAAGAAATACCCACAGGATTTTCACACTCTTTCCCCCCACAAATCGAAGGGAGTCTCCATATTCTTCCATTCGGACTGGGCATTCCAATTAAACAAACAGTACACAGCTGATCAGTGCCGTTAACTAATAGTAGTGGGAACACTGAGTGGAATCCTAGTTACTCTTGTCTCGCTATACGCTCCTAACGAAGCACAAATTCCCTTCCTTTGCAAAGCCCTTCAGAAAATAGCTTCTATCAGGCAAGGTCACACAATAATATGTGGTGACTTTAACTGCACATTAGATCCCAACATAGACATTAAGCAGGAGGGAGACATGCGTCCCCTCCCAAATGCTTACTCAGTCAATCCTTGTCCACCTTATTACACGTACATGATCTGTATGACACGTGACGGTGCAAATACCCAACAGGGACACTTACTCACATATAGACTTATGCGTGGTGGATAAAGCCACCCTGACCAACATTGTGGTTGTCTCCGTGGGCGCCAGATCATGGTCGGACCACGTCCCCCTAACGATAACTTTCAAAGCTCTGCATCTGGCAGGGTTAGGTGAAAGTGGAGATTGAATGAGATGCTGCTTGAGGATAGCATAGCCAAGCCAGCCATAACCAAAACATTAGAAGACTATTTTGTACATAATACCAGCGATCAGATGTCTGTGACCTCCATATGGCTTGCTCATAAGGCAGTCATGAGAGTGTATTTATCCAGCTAGGTGCCAGGAAGAAAAGAGTGATGAATGACACCCAAGCTCGTTTGCTCAAAGAGCAAGCTGATCTGGAAAATCAGAATAAACATGGCCCATCTAAACTAATAACCAGGAAGCTAGAAAAACTACGAAACAACCTACACGCAATCTCACTGATTACAACCGAACGACATATCAGATCACTGAGACTAACATTCTACACCCAAGGGAACAAGGCAGGTAGACTATTAACAAAAACTGAAAAACAAATACATTCAAACTAAAATTCCCTTTATCACTTTCAGAAAACCCCCATGATATAGTGAGCGCATTAGCCAGATACTACACTAAGCTCTACAATCTGTGTAATGACACCGCAGTACAACAACCTGTTGACGAGGCTATCTTTGCCTTTTTAGACTCAGTAAACCGCCCAATCTCCCTGCTGAAGGCTGAAATTAAACTCTATGTCAAACTGCTAGCATCTGGATTAAAACCATATCTCTGTCAGCTGGTATCGGTAGAACAAGCAGGGTTTGGTCCTGGAAGGCAAGTGGGAGACAATACAAGACACTTTATTAATTTAATGGATTGAGCTGCCTCCACTAAGCAAACTGGTGTATTGATTGCGCTCGACGCTAAAAAGGCGTTCAATCGTGTCAATTGGGCCTACATGCAAGCCACGCTTCTGAAAATGGGAATACCTCAGGCATTCGTCACTAGTATCCAAGCCCTGTATCAACACCCGACAGCTAAAGTCTTCAACTCTGGTTTCCAAAACATTCGCAATTTGCAATGGCACACACCAGGGATGCCCACTCCCCCCACTAATATTCATCCTTTGTTTGGAGCCCCTAGTTCACAAAATTAAACACACAGCAACCATAGCAAGCCTACAAACCCAGTAAGGTGAACAAAAGCGGGCATTATTTGCCGACGATATTTTACTATTCCTTACAAAGTCGGCAAAGTCTCATACTATAAAAATAATGGTACAAAAACTCAGACCCTACCTTTAGGACTGCCTAGAGATCAAGTCCAATCCCTAAAAGAGTCATTCCCATTCGATAGGCGTAAGTCCTTCCTGAAATACCTGGGTATTAATCTAACTAAATCGCACCACCACCTACTCCAAGAAAACCACGTAGCTCTTACACACAAGCTCAGATCGCAATTAGATCAGTGGAGTAACCACGAGATCTCATGGTTTGGCTGCATTAATACTATCAAGATGATAGCCTTACCGCATGTCCTCTACCTCTTCCGAACACTCCCTATACCAATCCCGAATAAAATCTTAGTCCATCTTGCCTGCACACATTTGGAAAAGGAAGCCTCCAAGGGTTTCCAAGTGGCTGACCTGGCTTCCTCTCCACAAGGGAGGTCTGGGAGTACCAAACGTCACCATATACTATAGAGCTTCCATAATGGCACTAGGACTGGACGTGATAACACGCACCTCGTCCCCTGTCTGGCTCCCTTTGGAGAATTCCTGTTTAACCCACTGTCCACTGAACTACCTGTTACGGACGATGACGGTACCCAGGGGTGGGCAGTCCAAGGTGCTACCCTCCACCTCCTATCTTTTAAAGAGTTGGAAGAGATGGGCTTCACAACTAATGGGACAAACCAATCTCGAATACTATGGCACTAACTGCTCTCTCTGAGGGGATCCCTTTGGGTAACTGGGTAAAAGGGGGGGGGGGGCAACACATGTTCACTCATTACTTGATCCACAGGGTCTCAAAGATTTCCTGGATCTACTCAAGGAATTTTCCTTGCCCTCCAGGGATACTGTTTACCTACCTCCGTATCAAGCACACAATACAACAACTGCATATGCAAAAGGTATACAATCTTCATCTGACAACATTTGGCCTGTGCTGCACAGGGCAATGGAAAACATACAAACCTTTATCGGCATCAGTGGTGTATTCTGGTTTTGTGCTGCCCTAGGCATGACAAAACTCAGGCACCGCTCATCCCCTTCTAAATTTCACTTCCTGTTAAAAACCAACATGCTCTTTGCCTAACAGACACACACATTCACTGATGCATACACTGACATACACTCACTGACAGATACACAGTCATTGTCACACACACTTTCACTGAAACATACACACTCACTCACATTCACCGACAGACACATTGACACATGCATTCACTGACAGACACACACTCACTCAGTGTCAGACACACTCACTGACATACACTCACTGACAAACACACATACACACTCACTGACAGACACATATACACTCAGTTTCAGAGACAAACATTCACTAACAGACAAACATTGACTGACAGATACACACTCTCAGTGACAGACACGCATTCCCACACTGATAGTCATACACGTTCACTAACAGACATACACACTCTCACTGACACACGTTTTGACAGACACACACTCGCACTAACAGACACAGACAAGCAAACACACACTAACACACTCACTAACAGACACACTCACCAACAGAGACGCACACACACTAATGCACTAACCATCAGACACACTAACAAAAACAGTCTCACTGACACACTCATTATCAGACACACACACTAACACACTCACAATTTTTTTTTTATTACTTGCTTACATTTTGGTGGCAGTCCAGTGTGGCTGCTGATGGCTTGGCTGGCAGGCACGCGGGCAGGTGGTCAGGCGGGCAGAC